TTTTGAACAACTTTTCTTAATAGTCAAGATCAATTTACTTAATAAGAATCTAACTTTTATATTAGCAATAGTTTTTTCACCATTTTTTATAATCTAAATTTAATTATAGAGTACGGTCTACCCTTAAAGACTAAAGAACTAAAATACATAACGTTCTATATATATCTATTAATAGACTCTAAATAAGCTATATACTACTTAAAGGCTAATTAAAGTATGCTTTATACTTCGCATAAACTATTAAATTGTTACACGCAAAAGTATATAAAAGTATAATGGTTATACAACCAAAGTTTAATTATGAAACTTTGTTGTGTAACATCGGCATTGGATTTTCGGTATTACATGTAATTTCGATAACACAGAATTCAAAAACTTATCGGTCAATTTTTATCAGTCAATTTTTACCGTTGTCACAGAATTTGAGAACAGCTGTAAATTTATATCCGGATTTAAATTTATACCCGGAGTTAAATTTATATCCGGATTTAAATTTTATCCGGAATTATATTTATATCAGGATTCCGGATTTAATTTTATATCCGGATTGCTATTATCTAAAAATTGGATCCGGATTTACCGGTATTTAAAATTCGGATTACAGCTATTCTCATAAATTCTGGAAATTTTGGCCAAAGTTGAGTGATAAACTTTTGATTCGGATATAATTACATCCGAATCAAAAGTTATCACTGCTGAATCAAAACTTATCGAATCGGTAAATATTCGGCCGGTCACTGAATCAAAACTTATCGAATCGGCAAATATTCGGTCGATCAATTTTTGCCGAATTTATGAGAACAGCTGTAATCCGGATTTATTTATCAGTCCGGATTGAGATGCTCTACTTTCAACTACAAAACCCCATACTTTATGCCGTATTTTTTTATTTAGCTAATAATTATAATTTGATTTTAATTAGTATTTCATTGATGATTTTGGTGGTAATTCTAGACGAATTAAGCGTAACGATTATATATAAATGGGTTCTTTCTTGAAGTAAAAGTCAAGTGTAGTCTAGTTCAAATTACATATGATAAAATTATTATTTATTGAGTTCGAGTATATATATGCATTCAATTACAGTATGTCGCTGATTAGCATTTAGGTACGTACGTACGTACGTACTAGGGTGGTTACTCAACTAAGTAAATCAAACCTATGTCAGCTATATTTATCATCAGATTTTTATTAGCAAAATTAAAAAATGATCCATCAAATGATTTTAACCCTTTTAATTATAAAGAAAAGCGTAAAATTCCAAAGTTTTCCCACAAAATTGTACTTATTTATCTAATTTCTTTCGATTGAAAACACCGGGGCCAAGTAAATCTGCAAATTCGATCGCAATTTTGGGAGTAATGATTGACAAGAATCAGCTCTTTTTTGCATTGATCTATCTATAATATAAGTACGTACATACGTACGTACGTACGTACTAGGGTGGTTAACTAAGTAAATCAAAACTATTAAAAAATATATGTGGTGTTGGCACCACTGGTGTAATTAGTAAAACTGAATACAAAAACTTTATTTATATACATAATTATAAAAAATTTCGAGTACGTACGTGATAAATTAATTGCGTCACATGTATATACGTACGCACGTACGTACGTAGTTTATTCAGTTTATTATCATAATTATATCAGATTAGTGATCCAAATCGCTAGTAGAAAAATCAACTAGTTGACAACTTTCCAACTAATCGATTTAAAACAACTAATCGATTAATCATCAAACTGGTACAGTTCCGATATATTCCGTCTAACCGGGCTGTTTCGTGTTGACTCTTTGGTTTGATTGGCTAATCACCTAATGATATCATGTGATATGAAAAATCGATAGTTGGCAACTAATCGATTGGCAAAATGTTTACCAAACTCGGAACACTATATCAGATATACTACAAGAATTACAGTACTTTAATACAACCTACGTCAATACTATAATCGGTCGTAATTAATTACCTCAACACAGCTGAATCATTACTTGTAGCTAACTTTATTTTCACACATTAGAACTTCTTTATACTGCATTATATACGTAGCTTAGCAAAGCGTTTAATTTATTCTTAAAATGAAGTTTTGTTAGTTTCTTTTTTTACTAAGTTAATATATTCAACCAACTAATCAATTGATTATAAAGTGATGTTATCTATACTGTGTGGCATTTATTATATTAAGACTTTCACCTGTTTCACAAACAGTACTGTATTTCACCGACTTTTAAATCTAACCAATGCTAGCTTTAAACCAGACTAACCCTAACTATAAATTGAGGTAACCTTAATTGTCAGTAAAATTGTTGTGGGGAAAATGAGATTCATTGAAATTTATTACGGCATGTTTGCAAAAATTGTGTACGAACCTAATACAGTAATGAATAAAATATATCATCATTAATTTTTATGACCATTATTAAACCCATATTTTTAAAGATGAGTTAGATGTTATTATGTGATTACAATAAGAAATGGTCAAAAAACAATTATTGATGGCACAGTTTATTTTTTTTGGAAAATACGCCGTAATGTACTTCCTGGTACTACATTGAATATTTCTTTTAATTCTGAAAAATGTATACAATGATTAAGTAATTAATGTTCATGATCAAAAAAATAAAATAATTCCATTGAAATTAGGATTTGTCAATGATATGACGGACTTAGAGGCTTAAAATGTAGATTACAATGGTAAATGGTATTACAGATGCACCGTACATTAGAGTCTGCTTTAAAGGTGGAGACAAGAGAACATATGATAACATATAGTATAGCCGTAACCGGGTAATTACCCTTGACCTGAAAAATCTAATCTGCTTTTCTAGTATAAGAGACCCGTATCTTGTATACAGTGATTTACGGTAAATCTTGAACGCCTACACTTTTATGGTACTCCGATAGTGAAGTGTGGGAGAATTAGTAAACACAATTATACAAGAATTTGAATCTATTTGATGTATAACAGGTGATATCGTTATAGTAAATTTTATGGTTGTGAAACAAAGTCTTAAAATCGAAATGGTAAATAATATCTATAATTTATTGGAGAAAGAAACAAAAATGTCTATAATTAATAGACGGTAAATTATATAAAAACTCAAAGTCAAAATTATTGACAGTATTAGTTATCATGAAAGTTATTTTAAAGTTATTACTTGTTTCGTTGCTGTTACAAAATAATTTGACAGCATATGCCCGTTACTCACCAATTGCACAATATTTGAAGGTACCAGAAGGCGAAGTACCTGATTTATTGCTTAAACAGAAAATCTTGATCGAGGGAAACAGTAAAGTAATACCATTACTAAATGCCACAATCTATTGTGGATCCTCTATAGATCTAAAAGAAAATAAAATAAAAATCTACACAACAAATCCAACTAAGAATAAAACTATAATGAACCACCGTACTATAAAAAAATATAAAAGTTTATTATCATTCATAAAAGTGCAAAATTCCTTAGCCAAATTGGATTCCACTCTTAAAGAATTAGATAGATTAGCTGAAGAACACAATGTGAACCAAATTGTGTTAAGTAAAAATTACGAAAAGAATAATATAGAAATACGGTTAAATCATAATGAAAATAACCAAGCATTTATAGAAAGTGTCAAAAAATTTAATCCGATTATACTTAATAACAAAGAATTTTTCGATAGTGGTGAAAAAGATTTTAAACCGTTGAATAAGAAAGAAGTGAGATTTAACTCGGCTGATTCGTCTAATTTACTTGCTTTAAGACCTATAGAAAAAAAGGTTCATGCACAACCCAGAAGAATAGACATTCCTATTCTTGCTGGAGAAGGCATACATTCTGGTCAAGTTAAATGTAGTGCTGGATTTTGGGTGGTTTTTAATAAAAGTCTCCTCCTTACGACCGCAGGGCATTGTAAAGATCATAACACACCTGATGAGAAAGGACTTATTTATTTTTATCATCTATCATGGGATAGGGTGGGGCCGCCGACAATACTTGAAGAAGATGATTATATTGGGCCAATGGTTTTCCAAGATTTTGAAGATGGCAACGATAGGGGATTTATCTTGAAAGATACTAAAAAAATCGCTTCCCCGGCCATAAGGATAAACGATTCAGATTTTGAGGTATATCATATTCTCGGTTCGCTTGATATTGATGAGTCATACATAGGAGCTTGGGTATGTAAATCTGGTGTTACCACACGTGTAACATGTGGTAAGATATTAGAAGTCGATGCGGTGTCTAGCTCACGCAGGAATGGTTCCACAATTACACATACGAACACTATCGAAACAAG